TGAGCACTCAAGCTGCATGGGCTTGAGTGAACCCTCTGACTCAAGGAGCTTCGGTTTCCCTATATGCACGATTGGGTAATAACAGCCCCTACCTCCCAGGTGGTCATGAGGCTTGACGAGGTGATCTGAGCAGTCCCTCTGTATGGTGCCTGGTAGGCGGTGAGCTCTCCGTAAATGCCAGCTGTCATTATTGCTGATGCTCTTGATGGGATCAATGTCTGAAGACTATTGGGTGGGTGATTCCACTTGTCCTGTGTTGTTCCCTGATGTAGAGCTGGAACTTTCAGGAGGAGTCTCCAGGAGGCAGAGTTCAGCTCTGGAGAAGGGAATTCTGATCAGGTGAGCTGCCCAGGGCAAGGCAGTGAGTGGCCAGTGCCCTTTCGAAAGGTGTGAGAGGCACAGCCATGCCTTACCTGGAGGGAGATGCTGTGGCTGGGACTTGGGCCTCATTGGAAGGGCCACCAGCCTGGTTGAGGGCACTCTGGGCAATGAGCCAGTGATTGAAGTAAACAGCACAGTTGCAGCTCAGGAGCACACACGAGGCATTAAAAATAGGCTTTCTGGACACAACTGGACTCCTTGTCCTCCCAGTGGTCGTGGCTCCTGACATTAGGTCTCCACACAGTCATGGAACCATCGCTGATCACTGAGGCTCTGAGCCGTGGGATCAATTCTCTCTCCATCTGCACTGGCCTTAGTTCTGTTCCACGGGCTGGGAGACCTGGAGAGCCTGGTCCACTCTGGGCAGTGTCCTGCAAACCAGCCAGGACTGCTTCTGCCAAGCACTTAACCTCTCTGAGCTTCAGCCCTCTTTCTTTAGAATGGGAACTAGATCCACTTGTGTACTTCTCTTGAGCCTTAAATGAGTTCACATATGTAAAGTGAGTCCATCAACAGATGTGTTTTGAGTGTCAATTATATGCCAGGCACTGAATTAAGTTCTATATGCCTAGCACGTAGCAAATGTTCAGTGAATGTTACGTCTCTTTATCTATGAAGAGTTAGTGGTGTCCATGGCTGGAGAGGAGCTGAGCGTAGTGAGGCTTTGATTTTATGGGAAGACTTGGGTTCAGATCTTGGATCTCAAGAGTACCAGCTGTGTGAGCTTGGGTAGAGGACTTAGCCCTTCTGAATGTAAATAGGATTAATAATCATACCTGAGTTCTAGAGGCAGGAGATTAGGTAAGACCTTGCCACAAGGCACTTGCTGTAGTGCTTGTGTCTGGGAAGTGCTGACTAAGTGTTGGTCATTATTGTTCTCACTCTGGGAAGCATACTAGTGTGGGCGTTTATGTAGGAGTTAGAGGCACTGGTGCTGGCTTGTGTCTGAGGTTATTGTGAGGCTCAATGCCAGCTCACCAACCGGGTGACCCTAGGCAAAATCTCTCTCTCTCTCTCTCTCTCTCTCTCTCTCTTTTGATTTTATTTATTTATCCATGAGAGACACACAGAGAGGCAAAGACATAGGCAGAGGGAAAAGCAGACTCCTTGTCAGGAGCCCAATGTGGGGCTCGATCCCAGGACCCCAGGATCTCACCCTGGGCTGAAGGCAGGCACTCAACCGCTCAGCCACCCAGGTGTCCCAACACAGGGCAAATTCTCAATCAGTCTGTGCCTCAGCCTCTTTGTTTATAACATGGGGACATAATGGTAGACCTCACTGGTGAGGTTTGACTGAGTCACTGTATGTAAAGCACTCAGCACCATGCCTGCCCCTCAGGCCCAAAGACAGAGTCAGAGAGAATGGCATTTAGGGTTTTAGGGCACAAGTTCTTGGGCATAACTCCCCTGGGAAGTTTTTAAAAACTGCATGTGAGGTCCCCACCCCAGAGACACTAGTACAGTCATATCTCCAAGAACCTGCATTATCTTTTTTTTTTTTTTTGAGAGGCAGGGAGAGGAGCAGAGGGAGGGGCAGAGGGGAGGGAGAGACTCTCAAGCAGGCTCCACGCCCAGTGCAGAGCCCGACAGGGAGCTTGATCTTACAACCTTTCTATCATGACCTGAGCTGAAATCAAGAATTGAACACTTAAATGACTCAGCCACCAGGTGCCCCAAGAACCCACGTCTTTAATGAGCCTCCCAGGGGAAGCTGTCGCAAGGGTTTCTGGGTCTGGAGCGTGGGAAGCAGCAGGACAGGAACACAGAGTGAATGAAGCAGAGCTGCTGCCCTCAGGGGGCAAACAGCCTAGATGGGAGACACCAGCTCTTCAGGAGCTCAGGGCTGGGCTGAACCAGGTGCCAGCTCTGCAGCCAGGAGGTGTGAGATGGAGCCGTGCATCCTCATCCTCCTGCTGTGTGACTTGGGCACATCCCTCGCCCTCCCCAGCCTCAGTGTCCTCATCTGCAAAGTGGGGACAGCGTGGGTTTGCTGGGAGGGATAGATGAGCCGCCCACGTGGAGAAATGACAGGGTGACCCCTGCAGAACTGGGAGTCTCCTGCCCCACGCCCTCCCCCACTTTACCACCGAACAACCCGACAGATTCACAGGGATCATCAGCCCCTGAGCGGCGGGAAGGGGCTGACCTTGTCCCCAGGTCACCACCTGGTGGGAGGCTGTCTGCTGGGGGTGATGTCACACCTGAGCTCTGGGGTCCGGGGCGTCATGCGGGGTCACAGTGCACCTACACTTGCCTCACTTGGAAGTGAGGCAGCCCGCCACCACCAGATGCTTGTCACGTTACTAAATCCTGGTGCCACTTCTCCTCTGCCCTAGCCCTGGTTGACCTATGTCCCTTTACCTTCTGTTCCAGGGGGAGGTTGGCCCTGAGTGTGGCTGCTGGAGCTGGAGACAGGTGAGGAGGGAGTCTCAGAGTCCTTGAGTGGCGTCCCCGGGGTCACTCAGTATGTCAGTGCCAGTGGGGGTCGTGGCTCCTCCCAGGCTCCCTGTGATCACCATGAGACCCTCTTCCCCGGGCAGTGTCCCTGAGCAGCTGGGACTCACAGTGACCACGACATCACTGCTGGCCTCCTTCACCCCGGAGCCCCACCCTCTCTCACCTCCACCGTCCCAGTCAGCCTCCGGGGCTGCTTTATTAGGGGACTTCCTTACAGGAGTGCCATAAACACGTCTTGAAAGGAAATGCAGTTTCCGTGTTCTTTCCTTTTTCCCCCACCATAACACATTTCCATTTCAATGGAACGTCTTCTCTTTTCAAAATCTGCAACATTCAAGGCCAGCTGGAGATGCTGTGTTCTGAGCTAATGCCCTTCCCCTGTGCCTGCTGCCCCCTCCCCCGGCCCCCCTGCACCCCCAAACCCCCCTGCAGGTCTCCTCCTTGTGGTGGCTGCCCCCCTAGGGCTTGAATGCACTTCTCTGCCTCAGCATCCAGGCTCTTAACCACCTGCTCCGCCCTCCTGCAGGCCCACGTCGTAGGTCAGGACGGTGAGTATGGCCAGCGTGTTGCTACTGTGTGCAACTGATGACTGTCATGAGCAGAATGGTGTCCCTCAAAAGTGATGTGCTCCGGTCCTAACCCGAGCTCTCAGAACGTATCCTTACCTGGAAATAGGGTCTTCCCAGAGGTAACCAAGTTAAAATGAGACAGTCAGGGTGAGCCCCCATCTTATATGGCTGGTGTCCCATAAAGAGGAAATTTGGACACAGAGACAGTCATGGAGGGAAGACAAGGTGAAGACCCAGGGAGAAGACAGCCGTCTATCAGCCACGGAATGCCTGGAGCTCCCAGAAGCTACCGACACCTGAGCAGATCCTCCCCCAGTGCCCTCAGAGGGAGCGGCCCCTGCCCACACCCTGACCTGGGACTTGATCCTGCCAGAACGATGAGACAAATAAGTTTCTGTTGTTCTTAGTCGCCCAGTTTGCTGCATCTTGTTACGGCAGTCCCAGCGAACTAACACAGTGACAGCGACGATGACTGAGGTGGCCGTGAATGCGCGGGGCTGGCGGAGGGGGCTGGGAGCCGCTGCCCTGGGCAGGCCTGCGGGAGGGCTGCGCGCGCTGCGACCCTTGAGACCCCACCTTGGAAGCTGGTTACAAAGTCTTGGATGGGCCGTGACTCTGAATGAGAGCTACTTAACCTCTCTGCGCCTCCGTTTCTTCATCCATAAAGTGGGTGTAATGACGATACGTACCTTGTGCAGTTGTCCCGAGGACAGATGAGCTAATGCTCGGAACGTGCTTACAGCCCTGTGCCCTCAGTACGGGCGCCTTCTTGTGACCTGTCCCCTCGCCTCCTCCCCCTTCTCTCCCTCTCCTCCTCTTCCTCCTCCTTCATCCTCCCCGTCCTTCTTTCTGTCTGACCAGGATGTTTTCCTTCTGGAAGCAGCCCCTTCTCCTCCCATCCCTTATGGTTTCATCCTTGGACTGCCCTCCAGATGAGCCAATGCGTTTCTTTTCAAACTCAGCCAGTCGAGTCCCTCGTCGGGCTCCCTGCATGGAGCCTGCTTCTCCCTCTGCCTGTGTCTCTGCCTCTGTCTCTCTCACTGTGTCTCTCATAAATAAATAAAATCTTAAAAAAAAAAAAAAAAACTCAGCCAGGATTAGGAGGCTTTTCTGCCGCTTGTGATCAAAGAGCGCTGACTCACACGGGCCCAGTCCACCTCTGCGGCTGAGCCGGTACCTTCCTGCTCCTGGACCTGATGCCCTCTGCTCTAGCTTCTCCCACAGGCCCCTCAAACACGTGCTCTTTCTACCTTGTGCCTTTGTTTTGGAAATTATCTCTTTGGAGTGTCCCCCTTCCAAATTCTTCTTCTGCCCAAATGCTGCCGGGCCCCCAGCCCCCGTGGACCTTGAAGGCAGAGCACAGAGGAAGGAAATGGACTTCAGAGCCGGAGAGGTGTGGCTTCCTCCCTGCTCCACCTCTCACCTGCCATGCGACCACAGACATGTTATTTACCTGCCTCGAGCCCAATTTACCTGCCCTGCTCACCTGGTGCGTGAGTAATGGTAATGCCAAGCCCGCAGGGTTCTTAAATGCACCGACTGTGGTGGTTCAGGAGAAGGGCCTGGTGCACAGGGGGTGCCTAATAATTGCTGGTTGATACAATCCATGCTGGATTGACATGAGCCAGCTCTGCCCCTGGCACATCACCTCCGGAAGGGCAGGTAAGATCCCTGGGGAAATCTTATCCACAGCCTCACTCTGGGAAAGAGAAATAGAAAATTTTCTAATTCCAAAGAGTAAATGTCAGAGGCTTGGGAAGGATTCGGAGGTTCTGAAAATAAACCTGGCATGGAAGGGGGAGGAGGGAGGGAAGGAAGAGGAGGAACGGGGAGGGGGGAGCCAGGCGGGGCACGGAGATGAGATGCCAAGGCTGGGAGGGAGAGAGAGACAGAGAGAGAGAGAGACAGAGAGAGAGATAGAGAGAGTGAGAGAGAGAGAGAGAGACAGAGAATCCTCCCTACCCCATGTAAAATGTGGATGTTAGACTAGGTCAGGAGTTGTAAAAGGGCAGCCTGCAGGATGTATCCAGGGGTGGATGTGCCTGGTTTCCCCCTCAAAATGTCTTCTGAAAAAAATAGAAGGGGTTGGCACAATCTAAAAATTGAAATATCACATGTAAAAATGTGATTTCCTTTTCTCCAAAAAATCAAGAGGTCTAACCACCCTGGGTGTGGCCCAGACAGATGGCGGGAGCCCGGCAGCTTCTAGCCCTAGATGGGACTCACCCCTTACACCCAGTCTTCACTGCTCCTGATAGTCCTTCAGCTCCGAGGCTGAGGCTGTCTGCCTTGCTGTCCTTGTCAGCCGAACCTGTCACCCCATGACCTTGAGAGGATTCCAGGTGGTGACCCTGGCTCAGAGCAGCAGCCCTGAGAGCCTATGACTGTCTCAGCTCAAATGTCTCCTCCTCCAAGAGGCCTTCCTTAACCACCTGAGCCCACACACCCCCTCACGCTTCATCCCATTGCTCTGCCAGGAAATGGCAGCAGTGCAGGGGCTGGCTGTCCGCAGGCAGGCTTCGCAGGGACTGGAGGAGGACTCCGAGCTGCCTGGCACTGGAAAGGGATTCATTCCCAGTAAAAGGCTGGCTGCGGTGCACAGAACACAGGATGCTGCTTCCTGCCCCTTCACAAGCTGCTGGTCCAGACAGACCCTCCTGACAGGAGGGGACAGGAAATGGGTGGCCACAGTTCCAGATCTGCCTCTAATTTCCTCCCCATCCCCTGTCAGGACGGCTGTCAGGGACCACTGGGACAGGGGGTGCTTCTGCCCTCAGAGCCCGGGAAGACAGCGGAGTGTCAGGAGCCAGTGAGGATGGTGCGGCTGTGAATCAGCCCAAGGCTAAGGTCACCCCCCAGCCAGACGGCGGGCTGCAGCGGGCGGGGGGTCACACAGGACCTGGGAACACGGGCGGCTGGCATCATCCATCCGTGGTTCACTTCCACGCTGAGGGTGCTCGAAGGGTGCCCCCAGCCAGAGCTCCGACACAGCAGCCTTGGAGGGGTCAGGGAAGCAGAGGGAAACCCCTGTTTACTGACCCTCGGGTGCACAAGCCCACACCAGGGGCTTTGCCTGAGATGCTCCATTTAGTGCTGCATTAGGCACCTTTTTTTTTTTTTTAAAGATTTTATTTATTTATTCATGAGAGACACAGAGAGAGAGGCAGAGACACAGGCAGAGGGAGAAGCAGGCTCCATGCAGGGAGCCTGATGTGGGACTTGATCCCCGGTCTCTAGGATCACGCCCTGGGCCGAAGGCGGTGCCAAACCGCTGAGCCACTGGGGCTGCCCTAGGCACCTCTCTTCTGCAAGCCATTCCCCATCTCCGGCCTCGGTTCCCCCTCTGTGAAATGGGTGTGGGTTGGAGGGCAGTTTTCCAAGGACCTTCCCATTCTATGGTTCCTCTGAGCCTCAGTTTCTCCATCTGTGACACCGCCCTCCCCGGGGCTGCAAGGATGCCGGGAGGAGAGGGTGTGGGGTGCTGGGTGGCTGTGGGGTTCAGGCTTCGGTGCCTGTGTGCGGGGCCACTGCTGGGTGGCAGGCAGGTACCTGGGGAGCCCCCGGCCTGTCTGGCTCCGCCGTCCCCACCCCCTGACCTCTGCGGCCATTTCCCGGGTGGCCGCCGGGCTGTGGGGCTCCAGGCTTTCCGGCGCGTCACCCTCCTGTCCTCACCACCCACGGGGGCTGCGGGGCCTGTTTGAGATGCAGGCGCCCCTGGCCTCCGGCTGCTGGGAGCCCCTCAGAGGCCCCACTGCTCCTACAGCAAAGACCTGACCTGGGGCGTGTTCAGGACCCTGGGAGTCCGGCTCCCCTCCCCCGCCCGCCCAGGTGTGGAAACTGAGGCTCAGAGAGGCGCTGAGACTCCCCCGGGCGCCCGTGTGGAGACGGCTGAGCCGGATTCAGACCCAGCCCCGTGGGGCTCTGTCCCTGCACCGAGCTGCCCCCACGGGCCACCCAGGAGCGTGGCCTCCGGGTGCTGTGCGCCCACACGAGGGCTGGGGCCTCGTCACAGCAAAGGCTGCTTCCCCCCCGGCATCTGTGTCTTGGGGCCGTGCCAGGCCCAGGGCGCCCACGGACGCCCCCCCCCCCCCCGGCTCTGCGGCTGCCGGGCTCGCCGAGGGCTGGGCACTGAGGAGCTCCTAACCCAGGAGGCTCGGGCCCAGCCCGAGGCCTGTGTGGATGCCCCCCACATCTTCAGGGGGGCTCCTCCCTGAAGAGCCAACAGGGCCAGGTTCAGAGGAGCCGAGGACGCTGCCGCCGATGTCTCTCTTGCCTCTCTTGCAGGAGGGTCTTTAGAAGCGTCTAGACTCGGCCACCAAGAGATCAGTTAAGAGGTCTCAGGTTATGTGTCTCCTCTGACTTTAGCAGGGTCTTGAGAGGGGCTTACACGCCGGCATATCTGTGCCACGAGCATCAGGGTCCGAGGACCGTTGGCGGGGAGGCCTTGCTGGTATAGACGGCCCTCATAAGGGGGCAGGTCTGCAGGGGGAGCTCAGGAGTTTGTGATGCTATGGAGGTGCCCGGTGGAGCAGAGCTGGACACTGGGTCTGGCCCTGCTGACTCTGGGCTGAGAAGTCCTGAGGGGTCCTGAGGAGAATGGCTGGTCCTGCCCTCAGTGTTCACACATGAGGCCCCAGGACTGTTTCCTGTTGGGCCGAAGTGGAAACCCTTACCCTCATGTAGTCTGGCTGGCTCTGCAGGGGTCACCTCTGGGCTAGGTCCTAGAGGATGAGCAGATTCACCAGAGAAGAGGGGACACCGAGGGCTAGGAGCTGGCCAGGTGCAGGGGGAGCTGTGTGGTCAGGGATGCACAGGGTCAGGGACACTGCAGCATTGGTGCCGGGAGGACGAGGCAGTAACACTCCAGAGCTGAAGGAGTCAGAGTAAGAGGGGCCTGGAATGCCGAGTGCAGGGTTTGCCTTTCAACCTGCTGGCTACAGGCGCTCAGCACTTCTTGTTTCAGGTGCTTGAGTGCAGGTGACATAGGGAGGGAGACTCTGGCAGCAAAGAGACCAGCGAAGGGGCCTCCTCGAGGGCTCAAGCCCATTTGAGGGCAGAGTGGCCATGGTGGAGACAGCAGGAAGTGGGTGGACATAGAGGGGTCTCTTCTAGAATTAAATTGGGCATCACTCTGGGGGCTTGAGGGGGTTAATAAACGTTACCTGCGTTCCTCCTCCTGCCCATCTGAGTTAGGGACCAGTTCAGCTTTCTGCTGAAGCTTCCGTTGGACAGCATGGCTGAGGTTTGCTGGCCGGTGGCCTGTTGCTGCCCAAGCCCTGAATAAATTCATCTACTTGGGTGAAGCAGGCCCAGACCCTGCGGGCTGGCCAAGCACATGAGCAGGCCAAGCAGGCTGAGCAGGCCTGGGGTGCTTGAGAATTTGGCCTTAAGAACCCTGAGACCTAAGTGCCAAATCCTGCCAGGTATTGGTCACTTGAGGCCTGACTTCAGCCCAACACCCGTAGACCATTCTGGAGTTCACCCATGGAGGATGGGTGGATGGCATGATGGGTTTTGAAGGGTGACTAGTTCTCCAGGTAGAGGAGAAGCCTTGAGGCCTAGACAGAGGCACTGAGGACGGGAAGGGTCTGGGGTATAATTGGCATTGAGAGTTCGGCCTGGGGGGTGGGGTGGGGAACGGTGTTAGTTTTCTGTTGTTGCTTTAGCAAATCACGGCAAACTTAGCAGCTCAAAGCCGCACACTTGACTACCTGACAGGCCCGCAGGTGGCAGGTGGGATACAGTCCTCACAGGGCTGCAATGAAGAAATGGCAGAGTGGCATCCCTTCCTGGAGGCCCCAGGGCAGGGTCTGTTTCCTGACTCATCTGGGTGGTCAACAGAACTCAGCTCTTTGTGATTATTGGGCGGGGGTCCCCATTTCCTTGCTGGCTGCCAGCGGACAGTATCCCCAGCTTCTGCAGCCACCCCCCACCCTTGACTCCTGTGCCCCTTCTTCCATCCACAAATCCAGCCACGGTGTTTCACTTCTCACTCGCGGTTTGAACCTCTTCTTCTTCCATCTTGTCTCTCTGCTTCTTTCTTCTACTTTCAAGTTCATGTGATTCAATTGGGCCCATCCACCCACTCGAATTAGACTGAGATTATCTCCCACCACAAGGTCCATAACCTTAATCACATCTGCAAAGCCCCCTTTGGCAGCATGGTGACGCGTTCATAGGTGCCAGGGATTATAGCACACGGACATCTTAGGGGTGGGACACAACTCCCCCCACCGTGGAGAGGGGAGAAAAAGAAAGCAACATTTATCATGCATCTGCTAAGTGCCAAGGGCCATGCAAGTTGTTTGGCATCCGTCATCTTATTTTGTCCTCACACCTGTCCTGCAAGTTAGGTATTATTATTTGCATTCTACAGATAAGGAAACCGAGGGTCAGAGAGACCCGTGAGGGCCCTGCGGTAAGGGGTAGAGGCAGGATGGAAGCCACCCCTGCAGACTCAAGCCTGCTCCCTGTCCTGGGAGCCTCAGCACCATCTCGTCCAAGGCGAGGAGGAGGGGCTGGGCCAGCTGTGGAGGCTCAGTGCCCCTCTCCCGATGCCCCGTGAGCCTAGCACACACCTGCCCCCTGCCAGAGAAGGCTGGTGGGTGGCTCCTTCCTTCCCCAGGATGCAGGAGATGCCGGGATGCCGAGCTGAGCGAGCA